TTTTTATACTTTAACATACACCTAATAATATTGAATTTATAATATCTATTCAAAAAAATATTTTTAACCATTGATCTAAAAACTAAAACACAAAACTTAAATTTATAATAATATCATGAGAATATAATTTTTATTTATCTATATTATGAATAATACAGGTAAATTGTACATCATAAAAGAGTCTCATTATGCTAAGTCCAACTGCAAAATGTTAATGTAGGTAGAGGTTACTAAGGTTAGAATAATTCAATTCGTCTACATGACATGTTAAATGTTTTAGTTGGAGATGACTACATTTATAATCGAGTCTATTTTTGAATAAATATGTATGAGTAGCATATTACCAGCACATATGATAAATGAGGTCAGTGGCATGCTGAAGAAGTAAGCTTTTCTGAAGTAATTTTATAAATATTTGGGTACCAGACAATGGATTTAGAACAATAAAGTTTTTAATAATAATATTTAAAGTATTTAGTAAAAAAAGAAAGAAAAAAAGTAAATTGAACGCTGTGAGTGCATGGGTGGTCAATTAGTAGTTTGTTTCAGGTTTGGAAATAGTTCAGTACGCTACTGAATAACGGTTATATAAAATGTTTTACTGATTTAAAAGATTTATAATTAAATAGAGAAATTTTTTCATTATGTTATTTGGATTAGGTTTTAATACTGTTTTTAATATTACACAAAACTAAATGATATTAAATATTAATTTGCAATGATTATTAATGTAAAAAAATATTATGAAATTACCTTGCAATTACTCACACTTGAACACTTAAATTTTGATAGGTAATTTAGTTTTATTCTGTGTCTCATTAAAAACATTTTAATACTACAAACAAATATACATCTTTAAAGATCTAAATGAAAATCCAATAAGTCTTAAAAAATACAAATCAATTTTTTTTTGTATTTATCAAGATTTCAACACAAAAACTTATTTTTTGTAAAGGTATTTAAGTATATTGTATTAATATTGAAAAAAATATATAATTTTCATAAGTGAAAGGAACCTGAAGATATTGACCTAAATAACTAATTTATACTTCAATTTAATCATATGATAATTATTATATTACAGATTTTGATGAACTACCTATACTACAATTTGAATAATAGTAATCCTAAATTGTATTAACATAGTTAGATGGAAAAAAGATAATTTAAAATAAAAACATAAGTGTTCTTTCTATATTTTTATATTTAGTGAGAAATCTACTATCAAGGTATACCATTAATTTAATTTTACACACAAATGCATCAAATGAATGGCTTTAGAATTTTATTATTTAACTTGAAAATTGAAAATGAGTACCTATAATTTTTAAAATTCCAAATGTGTTTATTGCACGATTTTTGATTTTAATATTTTTTAACATACTGAGGCACGACCTATTACCTACAAATGGGGCTCGAAGACTTTGTAATAAAATCACCTAATAATGTATACATACCTTTTTTATTTAAACTACAATATTTGTTTGTTATATCAAAGATTGTTCCGAATACGATTACTCAAACAAATAAACACCTAATTACTTAAAAATATAAATCACATGAATTATTAGAAAAGAGAAAAAATACTAAAAAAAAACGATTGATGGGAACACGATAAAGACTTTCACTCTGTAATAATATAATCATTAACGATTTAAACAGTTCACAGTCGGCTGTTAATTCCGGACTACGTCTGAGACATACACCAGCGGTTTCATTGAATGAGAAGTAACAACAAATAGTTTAAACGAGTAAATTTGTATTCTTATACTAATAATTAAATATACACATATATGCTCGACAAACAACTCACAAGACGTATAGCACTATAGCGTGTACTACACTAGTACACTACTATATACATTACTATTTAGTATTTACTACTCGTAGAAGTTATAGCCAAATACTAAATACGATCTTATATTATAATCGTATATAGTATTTTTATGACTTATAACCCACAAAGTAATATAAAGATTAGAGAGTAGAGACGCCATTCCCTAGTCCCTACTTCGGACTTCCCTATCAAGTATTATTTTATTGAGATTGTACAAAATATTAAATAATGAAGCACAAATTTCTTTCTAGCAATGTGACCACTTTTAGTAACATAATTTATTGTACTGAGACAAATGTGCTCCAGAATGGTTATAATGTACATATTATATTGTATCATACATTCATACCGGAGATTTTAATAACTTAAATCCGGATTTGTATGCACTTAAAAGTTAAAAGGCTCAAAATACTATACATTCATGCACCAAAAAACTTGATATGCTCATAAATTTTAGATAATGTGCAAAAATATATTGTTTTTTGCAAAATATTCTCTTTTCAATAAATTATGCTAAAAAATTGTATTATATATTATTTTTAAAAACAAAAAAAACACCTCTTCTGTCATTTATTAGTACTTAAGAGACGTATTGAATTGTGGTAACCTATGCAAATTTTTCGATTTTTTTTTTTTTTTTTAATTTAAATTACTTATGTAGCTATTGAAGAACAATGGTACAATCAGAATTTGTCGTTCAGACTTAGTTTTGAAGTTATGGCCTTTAGAAGTTACAGTTGCTCTTTCTACCCTGCCCTTCTACCAGCGCCTGCCGATAGGTACCTTATGATTTAATGAATTATACTTACTTATGAAATGTAATGTTTAATTGACTTTGCTACATAGTTTCTCGATCTACTACATATCAAACAACTTGGTATTGATGTGCTCTAATATCAAAGTATTTATCTCAACAATATAATCTAGTTGATTATTTAATAGAAATCATAGGGCACAAAATAAATTTAAAAACTACATATTCATAAAATTACAAAATGCGTAGTTATGACTGTTAGTTGTTACAAGTATCATACAATAAAACTTAAAAGTAAAATATACAGTAGAAGCCGCTTACTAGAAACACGGATAATCGATACAATTGTGTTATTGAAACAAAATGTCTCGGGACGGATCGGACGTATATAAGAACATTGGAAATAAATCGGATTATTGAAACATCACATCGGTTATTTGAAACAATTGGGAGGAGGTCAGTTGACATAATATACACCGATTATCCGGCGATAACTAATGCACCTCAATCTTATCTTTGCTGTCGTTACGTTTATTTTTAATGTAATTTATCGTGATAATGCTCTTTCTGCTCGTACCGGTCGTACCGTTTGTAATTTAGCTTCAGCGTGCGTATGTAAAGATTATTAGTGTTTCCTTTTTCTAAAAATCTAAAAATGTCTAAACGCTAAAATTTTAGCCAATTTTCATGCGACCAATCGTGGTTTGAAACTCATTAGACCGAATTGCTAGCCCAATACACACCCTCTGATATTTTCAATGCGGACGAGACTGGGCTTTATTTTAGAGCTCTACCTGAACACACATATGCACTCAAAATAAGTGACAAAGCCAAAGGGGCAATATTACTCGTATGAAAATATGGTCATGAAGTTACTCGACGCAAAAAAACAAATTACGATTGATAAATATTTTAAATAATATCGTAAAATATATACATTTGTGCATACTTTTTTAAATTATACAATATAGGTACATACATACATATATACATATTTTTTCGCGTACCCATTATTCATTTTTTTTTTTTTTCAATCGCTTATTAGAAACAACCGGTTAATTGACACAATTCACCTTGATCCCAAAGTGTTTCTAATAAGCGGCTTTTACTGTAAATGTAAATTATAAATACAAATACAAAATCAACACGTGGTTCGAACGTTTGTACTTTGTGTCACAGACTACTACAGATTATAGACTATAGAGTAGCTATTATTATTATTTAATATTATGTATTTAACCTCTTCGGAGTGCATTTATCACGGTACAATAAGTAACGACATTAAAAATGGTCATACGGCCACGATGACACACTGTTGGGAAGCAATTTGGGCTTCCACCAAATTATACAATGCCATCTCTATATTACTCTATGATTTTGGCGATTTGGACTTATTGAATATTATATTATTATGATTTAGAGCGATTTCAGACGACTAGACGAGACACTTTCTAGCGACTCGAGGGAACAGGGATACGCAAATTCGGTGGCGCGACACACACTCCGTGTCTGTGTCTCGTATGTATGCGTTTATTTATATTTTATAACAATGGTATCTTAGTCATGCGATTCTTTTCAGGTACACAAGTATAACCGGCGACAAAGTGTCTCGTTTGAAAATGTCACGAAAACTAACCCCCGAGTACCGGCGATCCGTATTGCTTACCATAACCGCAACAGCCATGAGTTTTCAACCTATACCGTTAATTATTTTTGATATTTGTATTATTTGGTTTAAGTCTTTAATGTTTTATATTTGATTTGAATAAACAAATTATTGGTTTATAAAATACTTTTAAATACTAAAGTATTTTCAGTAAATGAAGTTGTAATTCAAATAAATACAGCAATTAATTTAATTACGTTGTGGACCACTGAGGCGAAACGGCCGCGCTAGGTTCGTGACGGTCAGAGGCCAATTATTTCCATATCACGGACTGTAGGAGTATAATTTATAATTTTAATTTTATTCAATTCTATTATTCAGCCGGTAAGGAGGTACGTCGTATTTTAATTCTATTTTGAGTACCTAATATTTTTACATTATATGAAATACACATTCGTATTTTGTTGAAAATAATGATTTACTTGGTTATATATTTAAAAATATTTGAATTCTTAAACATTTTTTTACTTTTTAATTATAAATTATAAAATTTTAAAATTACATTTCATTTTTTTTCTAATAAAATTATAATTTTTTCAAGTTAATGCATATTTTTTTGATTTTTTTGAGCTATTTATAGTGCATATTTTGGAGCTTTTAAGTACATATTTAATAGCTAAAAAATATAACATTTTTAGTGCTACAACTTTCGAGCCCTGTTTACAAGTAGAACTAATTCTAAAAAATAAAAAATAATAACCAAGAATATACATATAAACTTGAATACTAGCTGATAATTTCATTATTGTACAATGTTTTCAATAATGAAGTTGAAACTGTTGGATCAATTTCTCATAATTTTTCTCATAATTTCTCTTAATTTCTTATCAATTTCTCACAATTTTGTACAATGGTTGTGTATAAGCTCCGTAGATAAATTCTGTTATCTATACTTAGGGTAGCAGTATAATGTTGTCACTTGTCAGTATAACAGTGTCTCGTTACTCCGTTTCTTCTGCAGTTCATATATTAAATACCTATAAATACATTACAAATTAAATGTAGGTAATAATATTATTACCATCATTACCCATATAGACATCGTCATAGTTTATAATGTACAGATACATTATATTACTCGACATCTCGACGACCGTCTGATGCCCACTTCGAATTTATCTATTGATTGGCTGATCAACGCGTTCAGTGACGTGAACGTCATGAACATCATAATGACCAGGCCGGTTTTCCATCAATCTGCCGACCGTGGTGCCCGTTTGCAGCCACTCAGTGCAATGACGATAGTACACCGGTTTAGCCTTCCAGCATGTGGTATCTATCTTACCATTAATTAGGAAGAATAATGGCTTTACGCATTGGGGAAATGAGTAGTAAACGATTTTAAAATTTCTGATTGCCTTTTACCAAAAATAAATAAATATGATTAAATTAACTTTTTTCATCAATGCAGGTACGTTTACCAAAATATATAATATTGCAAAATATGTTAACTTTACTTGCAAAGTTTGCAAGGCACAACGCTTTATTATGTCGAATGATGACTTGTCGGGACGACGTCTCCAGGATATCAGTCCGGTCATGAATATTCTAATCGACTGAAATATGTCACGAATTATGCCGATCAGCGGTGAATAGGTCGCTTGGCAATCGTCGTCTGTGGTATCCACGGTTTTCTTGATGACGTTTTTTTCCATAATATGTGGTGTGTCCTGCTGATGTATTTCTATTCAATATGCTGAAATATTATGAATTTCGGTAACTTCATGAACACGTCACGAGACACTATATTCTGCAAATCTGACCAGTCCTTGTTATAGAATATACTATTGTTCTTAAGAAAAAAATTATTTGTAATTATGACAATTTTGTCTTATTTAATTAAAATATGTCACCACGACAATGTATGTTTATTTATACAATCTATTTGTAAATTTAAAAAATCATATTATATGGATTACACATAGAAAAATGTAGTCGTTTTAACACACTAAGGTGTTAATTTAATATATATTTGCACGTCGTTTTTTATCCAGAGTTAAATTTCAGTTGATTTAACTACAATTTATTGTTAAAAAATTGAATTTATTCTGTTATATGGTACTACCGTTGATAATAAAATATACATATGTATACGATTAGGATATATATATAGGATTAGGATAATAGACTATTATCATAGGCAGAACTAGAGATTTTTATTAGATTGGGCCACTTTTCTTGATCAATTCAGATACGTATTTATAAACTGTTGGGGTGGAAGTGAAAAATTCTTAATATTATTATATATATTTTTTTAAATTAATTTGTTGTATTTGTACACACTTTTGTATATTTGTATTAAATATCTATGAATTTTTATTTAAAAATAAAAGTAATAATGTATATATATTTATATATATATATATATATATACATATATATATGGGTACTTACAGTTCAATATTTTTTTCTGTTTCAAGTCGAAATTCGAATTTATTTGATTCAACATGTTACCTATGTGCTGTTATTTTGTATAGTATTTTTATACATTATAATTACTAAAATTCAAACAACAAAATATACTTTTTTAGTGATATAATTAATAAATATTTTTAATATTATTTAAATCAAGAAAATACTTTAAAAATATCAGAAAATATTTATAAAACTAAACAACGATAATAATATGGTACTATTTTTTAAACATTTTCGATTACTTTTGAAATATTAGTACGAGGCGAGATTTACCTGGACCAAGGCCCAGTTCGTAGTTCCGCCTATGACTATAATATAATCTATGGCACTATACAATAATAAAATATACTATACTTCATTTTTCTCGTGTAAAATATGTATTTCGAAAGATAACTATAATAATATAGTATAAGTTCAAATAATATGATAACGTCATTCCAAATAAATGTGATAAGGAATATCTACACTAATATTGTCCTACAGTCCACAAGTTGTAGTTATTAAGTTTTAAAATATTATTAATAAAAAAAAAAAAAATGTTAAATTAATCTTTATTATTATTACGGGTTTTAGTGATTGGAGTTCGGACATCTAAGTTACAGAACAGAAAAAATCATACTATGTCTATTACCTATAAACGTAACGGTAATTTTTTCTGTGCTTCAAATGTCTGTAAGTTTTTATGAGGTTTAACAAGACGCAGTCAGTAACAAAACAACTTTTTAAATCAATCGTTAACACTTTAAAGCTCACTATTCTAGTCTCTACTGTTTCTTCGGTCTGGTTGACTTCAACGCCTTGAATAACTGAGACAAGTGACGGCCCACCAAAATCAGTGTTTAACCTATCACTTGGTACCAGTTATACAGACAATTGTATTTATGAGGACATTTCATTTTCCAACCATGTCCATATCGTTGTGGTCGATACTGAATAGATTCAACACCGAGTGAGTAAAATACAATTTTGAGATGCCAGCTATCAACTGTTCAGCATTTAATAGTGTCAATATTTGAAATTTTGTCCTTAGTAAATCTGCATCGTACAGCCGCCTGTCAACTGGCACTGGACACTTTCGTATCACTGTTTGGGATCCAGTGTTGATTATTGCTCAAATAGTGTCTATTCAATGTCTTTACTACTTCACCATGTGTGTTTGGATCACTGTTATCAGCTATGTTATTGGAACTTCAAGATCATTGGATATTATATTTGAATTTAAAGTAACCCACTAACAATAAAGTATTATTTTATATACCTGCTATAATCTGCCTACTATTTCAGGAATTGAGTAAGGTAAACAGTGAAAAATTTGTTATTGCTGTGTTTGCATTGAATGCACTTAGCGGGTGAGTCTAAGATTTATAATAATTTAACAAAACAATAAATCTTTAAATTTGTTACTGTTTTAGGGCTACATTCATTTGGCGTGTTGTCGAACGATATCGATTGTGTTTAGATTTTTCTTGTACAATACACACCATACACTTGGCAGCTTGTATGTGGTATAACAATGCACTGCCCACTCCGTTTTGGTGGTTATTAAATGCTTCATGTGCAGCAATTACATGTATATGTGCTGAATTTCTGTGTATGCGGACAGAGTTAAACACAATACCTGTAAATAGTGGGCAAACACCAAAAGTTGATTTGTAAATAACACTGTAAAAATATTGATTTTTAAATTAACTAAAAACGCTTAGGATTAATTTTAAAAATATTAATAAGTTATTTATTACAGTCATTCATAGTTTGATATATTTTTATCCATAAATATTAACAGAACATACTTAAATTAAAAATATAAAATTGTAAAAATGAAATATAATATATTATTTATATTGGCTGTGAAATAACAATATATATATTATTGATAAAATAAACTTAATTTTAACTATTGTTTTAATAATACAATTTAAACTGAAAAATTGATAATGATTTAATTTTGGATATAGTATTCAGATTATTTCTGGTATTCAGGAACATTACATCCAATATAGTTATTATTTTTGATTGCTTCTGATAATATAAATTTCCAATAGTAATTCATTTGCATTGTTGATGGATTTCCAATTATTATAAGTAATGCTTTTGCCCTAGATATTGCAACATTGGTGCGTTCTTTAGCAACAAGAAAACCGACACTAAATTTCTTATCCTTTTCACTTCCTGTTGTGGATTTGCTCCTAACCATTGATATGATAATAACCATTTTTTCTTGACCTTGAAACATTTCTACTGTGCCGGTTTTCGGTAATTTTATATCTGAATGGTACATTTTTAGTAATTCATTAATTTTGGAAACCTACATCACACAAAATAATAAAATACAATATAAAGTTTCTATGAAATTTAATATTGTTATTATTTACTTGAGAAGAGTATGGAGTAATAATTCCAATGTCATCAGCAGATATTCCAGACTTCATCAATCTTGTAAAGTACAATAATACTTGAAAAGCTTCATGGGGATTAAACCATGAAGGACTATTGGGATCTTGGCTGTCTTCACCAACTATACCATGCACAATTACTGGTCCTTTACAATCTATATCCCAGTGAGCATTTTCATTCAAATTGTTTAATAATATTCTTTCCTGTGCGTTATCATTCAATATCTATAATAAACAGTATTTAAAGAACATTATATGATTATTATTGTATCTTATAAATTTGTTATTACTACTTACAGTTGGCACTAATAATGATTTATAAAATAAAGTATTATAATTCAATACAATTTCTGGCAAAGCTCGATAATTCTGAATTAAGTATGTAATAAGTTTTGGGTTATAACCATTGTGTTCTGGAAAAATATCAGTATCTCTCAAGTATGATGGGTAATTAATAAAACGAGATAACATGGACAATCCCAGACCAGATTTGCTTGCTAAATTTGACATAACAACAGGTCCTAACTGTTTGGGATCTCCAGCCAATACAACTTGTCCATCTCGGTAAGGATCCAAAAATGCTATGAAACCAGTTTCAATAGTAAAAATATTAAAAAAAAAAAAAAATCTAAATTACTAGACTCTTACAAAGTGGTAATAACATTTCTGGTTCTGTTGATTGTCCAGCTTCATCTATAAATATATGTGTGAAGGTTCCACTCTTTAAGCCCATCATATACAATAATCCAGCTGTTCCTTCAGTGGTAAGAACTATTCGTAACTTGAGAATATCCTGTTTTTTGATTAACCTAGGATCTAAAAATGTATGCGTTTAAATTATAGTAATTATTTTTATAATATAGATAAATTTCAACTCTAGAATGATTAATGTGACACTTTTGATTTAAAAAATAAAAGCTATCACTAATATAATTATTGCAATACATTATCAAATATGCTATTAATTTCTGTTACCTATTTCGCTATCACCATAATATGAACTCTCAAGTTCAGGTAAACCACAATATTCATCATATTCCATGTTATACGACGAACCAATAAAATAATTATAGCCAACTAAACGCTTCATAATAGTGTTATCAAATAAACCAGAATTTACAAGTTTAGATAGTAATATATCAACAGCAGAATTAGTTGGAGCACAAATCAACAATCTAAAAACAGTTAAATAAGAGAAACATGAAAAGTTTACTGACAAGTATTTCAAAAGAAAGTTGTGTTATAAATGTTAGTTAAGCGGCAGTAATGAAACCAAAAATTTCCTGATAGTCCATAAACATACTTTTATTTGATATAAATTATAAATTATCAAATATAGTTCTCTGGGTTTTTAATATAACTTTACTATGGTTGGATAACTGTCCAGCAGTATTTACCTAAATATAGTTGTTAGCAAAAAGTTAAAAAAAATTTTTAAAATACTAACTTGCTTTTAGAGAATTCTTTGTACACTTGAATGATGCTTTCTGTCATAGTCACTGTTTTACCGGTACCAGGAGGTCCATAAATAATATAAGGCATTGGTCTCCCTTCACCTTTCAGAATATTAATGACTGCACTTCTTTGTTCTAAGTTTAATTTATTATTAAACCATCTGATTTTTTGCACAATCTTTGGTTTTGGTAACAAAGTATTGCTATCTTTTTTTAAATTATCCTCATAGGTGTTATCTGTTTTTATTTCATCATCGCTTAGGATCTTTAATTTTGAAGGCTGATATTCCAAAGAATCTTTGTATGGAAACAAGAATGATTCACCTAATCTGTTCTTTTTCCACATTTCATTGATTACTTCATGTTGTTTTCGATACATCATTCTGGCATTGAAAAAATTCACACTATAATCCCAATGGCCACATATACTATGAAATTCTGGATCAAACTTCAACCATATTTCATTTGCTAAAACCTTATGGATTATGCCTTCATAACATCCATTTTCACCTAGTTACAAATTATTCACCTTAATGTCTATAAAATGTAAAATTTTAAATAAAATACAATCACTAATACTGAATCAAAAACTTCATAAATAGTATAATAAAAAAATTATTAATTTAGAGTAGTTAAGTTACTTAGTCTAGAATACATAAGATTCATAATATTCTATTTATAATTGCTACTTTAAAATATAAATTAAACCAATAGAATAGATATTAATCTGTTTAGAAAAATATTTACCTAATCTTTTAACACAGTTTGGTGGATCTGTAACTGCTATTCTATCACCAGAAATTAATGAAGGTCGTTGTTCAGAAAGATCAGGTATTTTTAGAACTAAATATTCACCCGCATTCTCAAAATGTATTCTTTCTTGTGCATATTTTTGAAGAGCTGCTGTAATCTAAAATTGATAAAAAAATATAGTAAACATGATTTAAACTTAAATATGTTTTATCATAATTTAGTTTTACGAGCAATCTAGATTATGTAGCAATAGATCAAAGCATAGCAGTGTCAAATATAAAGTGTAAGTTTCCCATGAAATAATTGGTAATAAGATATTACTTATATTATTGTTTTAAATTGATAAATAATTTATTTTATTTTTTTTTTTTAATTTAAAAAGTATTTATCAATACTTGTTTTTATTTTTTGGACTAATTGAAAATAATATTTAAAATATCAATGCAAATTATAATAGTAATTAAGCATATATTAAAATAATTTAAAATTTGATATTTACAATACATTACTTTAAAAGATTGATTTAATATTTTAAAGTATGACAACATGTATAATGATAGTATCATTAATTATTAATTACATCATATTTTAATATTAATAATAAATTGGTAAGTATAATTACTTCTATTTCTTCCATAAATAAAAGAGTATGATATTTTGCTTTATAATTCTCGTAGGTAAGATTTTCAAAAGCAGCTGGATAAAACTTTTGAATGTTACTTTTAACTTCAGATAATACATTTCTAATTTAAAAAAGAAAATAATTATAATTTGTAAACAATAGTTTTATTATTTTTAGATTATTGGAGTCTTCTAAGCTGTAACTATTTTTGACTATATTCACTTGTTCATGAATAAATAAATGATAACTATCAGATTTATTAATTAATACAGATCTACATTGTAAGTTAATTCCTTAGTATTCTTATACTCTCTTAGAAAAACCTTCAGTAAGTAATATTTATTAAAATATATAAAATAATGTATGCTGTACGAGTAAATGTATAGTGTATGAGTTACACTTATAACTCAATTTAATGAGAAAATATTTTAAATGCTCAAAATTATTAAAGAGTACAGTTATTTTAAAATATAAATGTAAATAAAACTGTATTACTTATTGAATTTTCCATTTTCTAACCAGTAACATTTTGTCAATTGAGATGGAATATTCCACTGTGCTAATCGGACTGATGGAAACTGTACTCTAGAGCCTTTTCGAATACCAGGAACTATTGGATCATTTTGCAATTCAAATAATCTCCTGTAATAGTTAAAATATAATAAATTACAAGCTTGAGATAAATTGATTTTTTTTTTTAAACATTAATATTTACTGCATATCGATTTCTTTTCTAGAATAAACACTTAGATTACATGGAAGAATTAATCTTGAATCATTAACATCAATGTTTATGCCTACTTTGTAAGTAATATCTTCAAAAATAAATTCAACCTTTTCAGTAGATTTTCCTAAATACCTTAAAAAAATAAAAATAAACTGTTAGTATCATGAGGATCAAATATCGTATTAATAATTGTTTAGTATTATTTTTGGTTAATGATTATTACAATATAATGATGCACAAAAATAATAACATACTTTCCTTTAAGAGTAATGTCAAAAATATATTCTGACTGCGCTTTAATTATTATAGGCAACTTATTTTTATTAACAATTGACAATTGTACTTTGTTTCCTTGCATGGTTTGATAATCAATTAAAGTTTTATCCTCAACACAGCTGTTATTTCTAAATAATATCTAGTATATAAAGTGGAATTAATATTTTAATAATTTATCATAGTTTAACATATAACTTTATGGAAAAGAATTTAAATATTAATACCTGTATAATAGTTTGGTGTTCAAAACCAATTACTTTAGGCATGTCACCTAACACTTCAATAGTCATTTGATTATTGAAATCATCATTTTCAACAATATCATTAGATTGGGAAGTCGGTCCATTATCATCGAGAAGAACACGGACAGACTCGTTTGATCTTATTCTAGGGATATTATATCAATTACTATTTATTATAGGTAATTTAATTATTTAAATACATGGTTATAGAACATACATATTGGCCTGATGACGAGGGCCGTCTTTAGATAGGAAACAACTTGCGACTCTCCACTCTGCATTGTTAGAGTTCTTTTCTCTAAAGAGAGATATCCTGACAGGACTGTTGAGCTCTATGTATGGGAAGTTTCGAATTTCCTTTTCGGTTTTTGGCTGATAATGATATTTGTTGTCAATGAGACACTTGTCAGTGTCCAATATTTTTGTCACTATACCGTTCACATACCTGATTTCCAACGATGGGTTCAAAATACATGATATCTAAACATAAAACCGCAACATGATATCAGGGGTGTAAATTACATACATGGGTATTATACCAATAAGTAAATTTGTCCGACGGGCAACGACGGATCTTACCCAAAAATCATTATCTGGCGTTACATCTTTTTCAAAAAGAATATTGTCTGGCAGCTCGGGCATATCAATTTTACCAGTCACCCAATTCCAAACGTTTTTGAACACGGACATTATGATCATGCGAAAATACGAAGCGTTGTCAATTTTAAACGCAGTTTTGGTCAACCAGTGCGCACGAAATCTTCATTTAAGTAATCTGGTGAAAAATTTAAACGATCTTCGCAGATCAAGAACCTTGATTTAAGACAAAGTCAGGCGCACAATACTATTGGTAATAATTGGACAGTGAACAGAACTACATCACAGAATAGAAGGGGCTGGGAAAAAACCAAACAGTGTTACTTCATAATATTAATATCGTCAATACTTCAATCTTAAAATCCATTGATTGCCGAAACCAATAACCGGAATTCCTACGATTATTCAATTCACTGTTCATAATATGAAAAGAAAACGGACTTACGGACACTATTACGATAATAAACAATAATGAACGCACAGATATATACAATACATGTACCTATTGTATTTACCTGTGGAATAATGTGAGTTGTGACATACTCAACACTCAATACTGGAGAATAAGTCATGTGCCATGTGTCGACTGTCGGCACATAAAACAGTTTAAAATGACGGTATAACCACAGAACACTACTTTGCACTATCATGGGTACAATGGTCAATGGTTATTGTTAACGCGGTTAGATAAGGTATACTCTATCACTTATGAACGGGAGGGGTGGGGAGTATCTTTCTTTTTACGACCGTAGCTTTTCGTTTCGAGTTATAACTGTTGAAATTGAACAGGGCTCTCTGTATAAATTACTATTTTATTAATATATGTGAGATAGCACACGCTATAATTGAGTACGGTCGCATGAGATATTCTGTGGTCAGTTAAAACTGCTTATTATGTATATATTTTTTTTTTTTTTATTATTGCAGAAGCGGTTGTTTACGATACCCATAGGCGTCCGCAGACTTCAATTTCCGGTCGAGTCTGGAACAATTAATGCTCCAATACTTGAACAGTGTCCCTAATTTCTTTTTTTAAACACATTAACGTATATTTTAATTGTAAATTAAAAACTGTGTAAATAGAATTAAGTCGTGTGTGCACACGACATTAATGAGCTAATTTTTAGACATATATATTGGAAGTTAAAAATAAAATGATATAATTACAATTAGATATGCATAAAAAGAAGAAAATAAATAGTCAACATTAAAAAAAAAAAAACTTGGTTTAACGAAAATAAAATTGTATATACTTAATATTATATTATATGAATTTAATTAATGAATTATAAATAAACTCCTATTTCCTATACTTTTGATTCAGTAACCATCAATAATAAACTATTAAGTGGATCTTAATGTACAGTACATTTGTACTATTTAATTTATTTTTTCCTACTGTTAATTTAGAAAATACCCGTTCGCAGGAATAACATGTACCTAACTGGTGTTATATTAAATATTTCATTACAGTGAAAAATCCATTAAATGATTTTATGTAATTAGGTATTTGCTTTCATACGATCTAGCTACGAATGTATTGATTCATTATTACATGGTATTAGCATAGATTAAATAAAACTACTTAATCTGTGGTATTAGTGCATGGTTGAAATGTTATGCTCCTAAAAAGATTCCGGTTGAGCCACGGTTCGACCAGCTCGCCCCGTGTGGCACGTCTATGAGTCAATACCTAAACATACCTATACATATGGGCGGATATTTGATTAAATTTTAGGGGAGTTTAAATCATTCTTTGCATTGTTGCAAAATAGATATTTATTTAATGCTTTGAAAAATGTTCAATAATTTTTTTTATTTTTGAGGGGAGGGGGCTGAGCTCCCCATTTCCGCCTTGCCATACATATACAAGTATGAATACAGACAGTTATGAGATTCGTTGACCGTGTACGTGTGTACACCGTTAAAATAAATAAATAAAAATTTAATATTGCAGCACATTTTGTATTACATACATTTCTTTACACTTATTCTCTGTAACCTATTCACGTGGGCAATTGTTACCTATCATAAATGTTTTCTTATGCAATAATTAATACTACAAATGTTTACTATTTTAAAGCTCACACGCGGCGTATATGTACTACAGCGGAGGTGTTAAAAATATGTAATCGGGCACATTTATTTACCGCTGCGGTAAAAGACAATAATTGAATTTTAGTAACGTTTATTTTAGTCACATTTTATAAGTGTTACACAACCCATTGGTTGAATTTGAAACCCCAACACTGGCCTTATTATTTCTAATTTTTGATAAGACACTTAGTTACTAGTTCATACCACGTATTTTGCAACTTGGGATTGCATATTTCCAATTTTTAGACTTCACGATTTTTTAAGGGCTTACTAAAAAATTGGGAGTCATTGCCTGTCGGTGATTTTTATCAGTTAAATGGGGTGGTCGGGTTGAGTTACAATACTCACAACTTCTATGAACATAATTCCTATTTAGAATAATTAGTGCCATTGTGTCAATGCATACTAGATCGATTAATTAAACTATTCTTAATTCTGTAAACATTTATATTTAATAATGAATTTTTTTTTAATGAGCAAATAAATACCTTTTTTAACACGCAAGTTTAAAAAATAATGAACAAATTCTCAACATATTTAATAATAGTAATAATAAGTAATAACATAATTAATTCCTAGTCAACAATTTTAATACATTAATTACAATGTAAGTTTTAAATATTAATTATATTTAATAACAGTAATAACATAAAATTTTAATTTTAATACAAATATGTAATCTCATTAAATATGAATTAACTATAATATTATAAAAAAATAAAATCATTATAAATCTTTATGACTAGAATATTTCCAAAATATTGTATGTAATAAATGGACATTGTTAAAGGCCGGACATGTTAAGCTTAATAACCTAGTAACTAGTTTTATAATATATTAATTTAATTGAAAATAGTTTTGATTAAATAGTAGATGAATTATCAGTCAGAAATAAAAAGAATGAAAAATATTAGAATAGTATAGAATGGATTAATAAAATGGAAATGACAAATTGTCTTATTGATGATTTGACTGGAAAAGGAACAAGAAATAATTTAAGAACATAATTACTGCCAGGATCATTTTTGTAGAGTTTAAGAATGGTCAAAACTGCCTAAAGGAGAATTGTTTAATTCATCAACCTCCTGTATAACAGATTCATCTTCCAAACGTTGTCGATCGATTAACATCTCTTGTCTGAGTTGTGGAGTAAGTTTAACAATTCTGTTTTGAACTTTTGGTGATAGTTGACAAGTTTGCTGTTCTAGATCATCAAAACTAGCACGTCTATTTATTTTGTGATGATAATGGTGAAAATGATGGGTAGAAGATGGCGGTGATGGAGAATGTGAGTAACCATGATGATGGATTGATAAACTTGGTGACGTTAAGGAACCTCTTCTAAGTGGTGATGGCCCACCTTCCCATTCATTTCCTTCCATTGACTTTACCAAACTATGTCTATACAAGAATTAGTTAATTTAATTAATATTATAAATTAAATAAATTTATATATATAATGACCAGAAGTATTAGTAAACCAACCTTCGAGAAAGTGTGACTAAGCTTTGCCTGTGTTTGGATAATCGACGCGATTTACCTTGCCGCATTTGAATAGCAGAAAAATGATTTTGGATAGCTAACCCTAGCTCAGGACATTCTTCTTCATTTACCTAAATACAAAAATTAAAAGTGACAATAAAATATTTAATATCAGTACTAGAGAAAAAAAAAAGCATACAATAACAGGAGAGTTCTTTAACATAATGTATCCATCACATCCATTATGTAAATAACATTTAGTAGCTAACTTGTAAGTTTGATCACGAACAAGATATTCGTCTCCAATTCTAACTAAATCAGGTTCAATTCTGTTGCCAGGTTCTGCTTCTGGATTAAAACCAAAACTAATTCCAGACACTTGAGGAAATCGTCCTTCTGTTTTAGGGTATTTACAAACACTGTTTTCCAATGCTTCCAAAATTTGCTGTCCTAAACACACAATTTAAATAGATTAATTTTTTTTTTTGTTTAATTGATATCATTAACATTAAATATAAAATAAAAAAGAATAAATCATATACATTCTATTATATTAAATTATATATAATTATTAATTTAAAAAATATATATTTTGTTTGTAACATAGTTTATTTACCAGTTACTAATATGACAATAGTAGGATCTTGCATTGGTACAATATTAACAAGATCACCCAAAGTGAAATCTCCCGGAGGATGAATACGATCTGACCGGAAAGTTCCTGAATTTAAAATTACTAAGTCTGCTCCTGTGGCTGCTAATAAAACATCGCACACCCAATTTCCAAGATTTGTTTCAGCAGTTCTAATTTGACTAAAACGGCCATCTAGTTCAATAGTAAACGTACCTAATACTTCAGACATTTTTCCTTCTATTGTACCTAAAAAATTATACATTAATTTTTATTAATTTTTTATAGTATTTTATTATTATTATGTTTAAAATGTCACACAAACATTTGTTATTTTTTCATTTTAACACTAAAAAAGTAAACACTGAATGAAGTATAAAAATCAAGTGAAAAACTAGATAAATAATTGGAAAGATATTTTTACATATTAATAATATAAAAATAATAAAATTGAATACTCCCAAATATCTTGAATGACTTTTGGTTAGATAACTAAATAGATAATAATTAAATTAAATTAAAAAAAAAATATTTGTAGAACTATTTTTTAAAATAGAGAGCTATATTTATTACTCATAAAGTTTAATTTGTAAAATAATAAAAAAATTTATCATCATAGACTTTATAAATGAGTATAAAAAATAAGTTTTTTTTTTGAAAAATCTACTTTACAATTAAAAAAATATTTAATAAATTATAAATAACATACAAAATTGATACAATAGAATTTTTAAGGTAAATATAATACTAGAATTTAAACAATAAATTACGATTTAAGTAAACTTGGTAATGTGACTGTGGTTTAAGTAATTCTATTTTTTTTTTCATTCAAGATTATGCTATGGAATTGAGTAGATGAATTTTACAATTTCTGATATATTAATTCTTTTATGAAACAATCTAAAATATTTGCTTTACTTGCAGTTTTACACTAACAAATAGGAAAATTTACTAATTGATTAACTCCATAATTCTAAGAATGACTTATGCTTATTAAGACTATTTTTGATAATGAATGGAATACAACCAATTAATCTTAATCTAATGAATACTAATATATGTGTGTGTTGATGTAGTATTATTTATTACTTATACACTATATAACTAGACTATAAAATCATTACTTTTCTTATTTATGTGTAAAGTATTATAAAAATGTGCCATAAAAAATGTAAAAGTTGTTTGAAAATAGTACATATCGGTCCTCTTCTAAATAATTTGACTTACAAATAAAATAAATATATAGCAGATATTTTTGATTTATGTATAATTAAATATATTAGAAACAATAAAAAAAAAAAAAAAAAATGTTTGTGTGATAAATTATGTATTACAAACCTAGGTAAGAATCCAAAATTTCTTTCATAGCAATATCTTCTTCAATATCTTTGGTGATTTCTATTCTATTCACCTCAATTGGATTATTAGGCTCATC